CTCTTGTGAGGCTCCCTGGAGATGGCATTGTCGAAGAATACTGGTTCATATTTTGCTGGTGTATTATATTAAAACGAAATTGGTGGGCTTGATGGAAGTATCTTGGTACCTTCTTACTCTTCCCAGATGTCTTAATTCCTTTGCTCTGTCACACCACCCTCTACGACCTTCGGATCTTGAAAGCAACTATTTCGGTCACTGACTCACTGCAACACTATCTCGATGTGTGATCTGATCTACAGATCTTATCTATATAACAGAGAAACTATCACTTTCTACTCAGATACTCGTTTTAATTTGAGTTCGTCATCGATCTAGAACAATGTGCCTCGCAAATATATTACTACCATCCTCTTGCTTACTTTACTACAATAAAGCTACTATTATAGTGATTCACCTCGCAAATTGTCATTTTGGCGCCATGGGATTTCTCGACGAGTAAACGTCATCAGCTCCTCCCGAATCCGATCAGTATTGCGGCTCGCTTCAGCCTTGTTTTACAGCCCCTACGAACTTCAAAGAGGGTTTTTTGTCTCGATGATAATCTTTCAAGGAAGGATTTGCCGTGAAGAGGAACCATGTCAGCCTCCAAAGGGAATATGTTCCCACTCGGAAGATCCGCTTTGAAGGTCTCGTGGGCGGGGCCGCTGCGACCCCAATACCCGTACTATGTTAGACTTGATTCTTATTTTAACTACTTAGAATTCACCCCTCGATGTGAATGGCACATCAATTGCGAAAGGATTACTCCTCTAACATTGGATTTGTCTTGAAAAGTATGAAAGAACAATATCTCAAAGCGACAAGCTTGACAATCATGGAGGGAACATCAGGAACAATTTACTTTCGTGAATCTGGAAAAGGTATCAAGATAATGCTTGTCTTAGGAAACACAAAACATGCAAGAGAAGGCCTTTATGCAGGTCACTATCACACTATCCGTTATATACAGATCCCACATCCTCACCCACCATTCCTCCTCGCTTTTCAAGGTCTCGGCCCGCCATCCTGCAAGCTCGCATTCTCGTCCAATAGGAAAGCTTAGATGGCGATGTAACATTAAAAACGTCTTTCCATCCATACCACGGCTTGTCCACAATGTCGGACTCACATTGCATTCAACCGTCTCGGGAAACTTTCCTGGAAACATGTCTGGTATGACACGCTTTAGGATTGAGGCATAGATGTAGGTATGAAACTGGTCTGGAGAGTTTGTGATAGGTATTTCGTACAAAAACCTGCTGAAAGTTGATTACGAACACTGACAATCATTTCATGAAACGTTACAAAATCCTACCGACAATGATTGTTGTAAGAAGCGATTTGGGGTTCATCTTTGGGAATTTGCTGTTGTGGTGAGGAGTATGTGTGGAATGATGACTGCATACATAAATAGGTACCTAGGTAGGTAGGTAGTAAATATATCGAGCAGAGAGAGGATCAAGGGGAGATAATCTAGACGGACCATATCACTCAACCCATACCTATCCAGTTGCTAGCTTATCATCACAGATTATACAGCAAAACGACCTGAAATACTAGGTATATACTTAGGTAGATATATACATATATATAGAACAAGGTATACGCAGATGTGTTGATATATATATATATATTTGTTACTTCAGACAGAAAGAAGTACCTGGCGCCTGGCCTGCCCTGCAGTATTGAATCTTCGATCCTTGTTTGGGTGAGTAATCGATCACGTGTATGGGGAATTTGAGACACCAATCTATTAGAGAATTTCTTTTACCACCTGTCTCCCTTTATTCCCTTTTCGCTCTTTCAAAAAATGATTGTGATCTAGATTGGATGGGAATAGCATCATTCTTTTGAAATCTTCCAATTCTGAACCCATAATACCATAATTCAAATATCGTTTCTTCGACGATAGATGCAAATGAAAAGGTACCCCGTATATGTAGGTCATTGGGCTCTCAACCGGTTTACGGTAGATCTGCTCCGTACCTACGTAGGTCCAGGGATTTATTTTGAATGGATAGATTCACCATTTCTTTTTCTAATCGGATGAAATTGATGGGAAGACCGAACTCAAAAAACGTCATGATACCTCCCGACGAAATCCCCCCCCATCCCCCCACTATACTACTATACTACTATGTATACAGACAGGTACAATACTGAAGACGAAGAAGAAGAAGAAGAAGAAGAAGAAGAAGAAGATACTGCAATCAATAAATCCACTTACCACTTACCACTCACCACTCACCACTCACCACTCACCACTCACCACTCACCACTTGCCTCTTACCTCCTTATTATACTTACATTCCTCAAATTTCACCACATCCCGGTATCCTCTTTACTCCAGAAGAACTTCTCTTCATAGATTCAATTGATCATAACCGACGCAATTAACCTTTTCAATTGCTATACACAGACAAAGACCGTATTGGCGGAGAGTAAGAGTAAGACTTGCTCGGACTACCTACCTACCCACCTAGTACTATACATACATGTACACTATCAGTCAATCATAAAGCTCGGTCCCAAGTCGTCGCAAAATACAAATATCGGTATCGGTATATCCATAGGAATCTCCATCTCAACAACTGAGCCCCACCACCCCTCGAAATCAAGTACCTCAAGTTTCGCGATAACCGCATGGCTACTGTAGTCTGCTGCTTCCAGTAAGCCCGCGAAGTCTTCCAAAATAAGAGGCACATCCAAACATTTCTTCTCGCGAGACTCTCACCGTCACGTCAAATCGCAATGGCCGAGACCACGACGGCTGCGGCTGAAGAAGAAAGAAACTTCGTGGCTCACTTCAAAGAGCAGCAAATCTCACCCCCGGGTGAAATCCAACAAAATCCAAGGAATGAAGGTTTGGGAGCAAGTTCGAGAAATTTGAGTGTGCGAGACTTTGAGTTGGTGAGGACTTTAGGAACCGGTACGCTCCGATGCTATGCGATGTGCTGTGTTGTGTAGCTTAATGACGGAACCTGCACGTAATGTATGCTAATTTATTTTCATTCAATAGGCACATTCGCTCGCGTGTACGATATTCACCCTCATGGATCTCTCGCTTGAATACATTCTGATTTTATATTGTGTAGCTGGCTTGTACGTCTTGCGAACCCCGCTGAAGAGGATCGCGATAAGGTTTTTGCGCTGAAGGTCTTGCGGAAAGTCGAGGGTGAGAGTTGACTGGCAGAAGCAGAGTCAATATCATTGACTGACGATATCTAGTCATCAAACTCAAACAAGTCGACCATGTCAATCACGAGCGTTCGGTTCTTTCAGATGTTGCTGGACATCCTTTTATTACTACATTAATTACTTCTTTTTCTGATCATGATTCACTGTATATGCTGGTACGTTCATGGGATTCACTCTACCGAAATTCTCCATTTTCCATTATCAATTGGATATCCGGGTACTCTATTACCTGTCTGAAACTAATTTTTATCTCTTCTAAGCTTGACTACTGCCCTGGAGGTGAAGTATTCTCCTATCTACGAAAAGCCAAACGATTCGACGAGAACACAGCTCGATTTTATGCTGCCGAAATAGTTTTGATTCTTGAATTTTTACATGAACGAGAAGGGGTTGCATATAGAGACATGAAGCCGGAGAACCTGTTGTTGGATGCTGAGGGACACATAAAATTGGTCGATTTTGGATTCGCAAAACGTTTGGGAAACAGTAAGCTGCGTAAATTCGAGGGCTCTGCTGGTCGTTTATTGACAACAATAAAGGAGAAACATATACCTTATGTGGTACACCAGAGTATCTTGCGCCAGAGGTTATTCAATCGAAAGGCCACACGACGGCCGTCGACTGGTGGGCTTTAGGTATATTAATATATGAATTCCTCACAGGATATCCACCCTTTTGGCATTCGAACCCAATAGAGATTTACAAACAGTATGTATCTCATTTTTCATTTCCTCATTGTCTTTGAATCATTTGCACATTGTCTGACACAGAATTGCGTCCAGAATTGTTAGCAAGCCAGTTTCTTTCCCTGCCGAACCTGCCATTTCACCCGCGGCAAAAGATATCATTCGCCAATTCTGCACGCTCGATCGATCACATCGTCTCGGAAATATATCTGGTGGCGCTGCACGGGTTAAAGATCACCCTTTTTTTCAAGGAGTGATCTGGGAAGATGTATATTACAGGAAATACCGTGGTCCAATTATACCCCCTTTGAGATATCCAGGCGATGCTCAAAATTTCGATTTATATCCCGATGAAAAAGAAGGAAGAGAACCATACACTGAGGAGCTCGCAGCAAAATACGATGATTGTTTCAGGGGGTTTTAGATTATAACTCAAATGTGGATTCATTGGCGAATGTTGGGACGAGGATGGGATTGGTGTACGGCTGGCTGTATCAATGGATTGGTTTGCAGGTTTTAGATACTGCAAATGGCGTTCTTCGGGTACGATAATGGGTCGGTTAAAGAGAGGTCGGTTGCAGAGATCAGGGGAACATGTCATGATATCGCTTGTACACTTTCTTATGGAGATGGGATGAGGTAGCGGGTATATATGGGCGAGTTTTTGCAAACTTTACCTTTTAGGGTTATAAAAGCTAAGACATTACCAATTGGATTCTTGGTTATTTCCATATTAAATGTGGATCTTTCCGAGTTGCGTTGAAAATTTATCCGTATCTGGAACCGAAGCTCTAAGCGATGTGATACTTGCTGTCTTGCAGCTCGGGAACACCTGCGCCTGCGGATTGCCTGCGGATTGCCTGCGAAAATCATTGTGATATGGAGTACACGGATACTCGGGGGGAAATCACTAGACCCAACGGTTCACCAGGCTAATGCGGAGTATCTGAAGCCTCAGCCATACATGATACGTTTATTGACTAGTGAACGCTTGCTTCCCCTTGAATTCTTGAATCATCGATGGTTTCCAACATTTGAAGTATTGCCTCCCCCTCTCTCCCTCCCCCCCATCATTTCTTTCGTAAATCGTTTTTCTACCTTGAAAGCACAGATTCCCATCGCACACCTCGCACCATGGAACTCTCTCTGTATTCATCGCTGCTTATCGTGTTCATCACATGGATTTTCTCGTCACAATTGACGACGTATGTGCGCTCGCGTCGCTACAATGCAGATGCGCCTTTGGTCGCGAATTCGTGGTGGAAAATTGTGACGTGGAGGGGGTTGTCGGGAAAGGAATTGTTGGTGGGTGCGTATCAGAAGGTATGTTGTTTTTTGTTTTTGTTGTTGTTTTTGTCTTTGTCTTTGGATAGGTAGGGTATGGGTATGGTTGTTGAGATTTTGGGATTATGGTTTTGTGTATTGAATTGAATTGAATGAGTGTGAGGTTTATTTTCTTGTTGGGGGGGGGGGGGGGGGGGGGGGGGGAAGGGGGTTATTTATTTTTTCATTGTTATTTTATTGTTTTAGAAAAAAAAAAAGATACAAGGATGGAAGCTAATGGGTGATGAAATAAATAGTATTCGAAAAATGGAAAGGCGTTTCGTTTGAATGGAATGCTGGGTCCTCAGTGGGCATTACCTACTTCTGTCTTTGCGCAGGCGGGGAAGATGGGGACGGGTGATTTGGATCCGTATGAGGCGAATGAAGATGTATGTTTATTATTCAATCTTCTTTGATATCTTTATATTTTTATCTGGTCTGATCTGATCTGGTGCGATCTGATGTGATTCCACTCAATTCGATCTATCGAAAAACTCGAATCTAGTAAGGAATATGCGAGAAAGAATGCCAAACTAACCCTCCAACACAGTTCCTCCTAATGCGACCCTTCATCTCCCCCGAAAGCGAAGACATGATGACCTTTATCATTTCCAAACTAACCCGTTCGATTCCCGAGATCACCCCGCTCCTCCTCACGGAAACTACGACTGCGTTTCGAGAAAATTTTGCGCCGGACGATTCGAATGAGAGGGATGGGGAGGGATGGACACACACGTGTTTGTTTCAGCATGTGAATGTTTCGCTGGCGAAGATCGTGTCGCGCATACTGTGTGGAGAGAAATATTCGAGCGATGCGGTGTGGGTACATAATGTAGCGACGTTTGCGCGGGGAATATTCTTTCCGGGATGTTTGTTGAGACGCTTGCCGAGGTGGAGTCATGGGTTTGTGGCGCCGTGGATGAAGACGACGAAGCAGGTTGCGGTGATTGAGAGGATGGTGACGGAGGATGTGAGGGGCTTGGTTCGTGGGGATGTGACCGGGGAGGATTATGAGAGGGGGGTTATCTTGCCTATGTTTGGTGGAGGATGTGAGGGGGAAGAAGGTTTTTGAGGGGAAGGGGGAGGAGGAATTGCTGTGGGGGGTTAATAATAGGATTTTGTAGGTTCTTTTTGCGACGGTGGAATACGACGACGCTTACGTTTACTCATGTGCTTTATGATATTATTGGGCATAAGAAGGAACTTTATGTGGAGCCTATGAGGAGGGAGATTAGAGACGCGTCGAAGAAGTTTGGGGGAGTGTGGAATCGAGAAAGCATTGGGGAGTTGAGAAGTTTGGATGCGTTTATGAGGGAGAGTCAGAGATTACATCCGTTAGGATATACATTGGGTAGCCGGAAGGTAGCGAAGAAAGAAGGACTGGATTTTATCAGCAAAGGGGAAGATGGGGAAAAGGTGATCCATATTCCGTACGGAGAGAGGATTGAGGGATTGGCATGGGCGATCCATCAAGATGCCGAACATTACGAAGATGCGGATGTGTTCAAGGGATTCAGAACTCGGGATGAGACGATAGCGGGCTCGAATCCCAGTGAAAGGTTCATGATTTTCGGATATGGTATGTTTGAATGTTTCGTCCGGTCCGAACAATGCTAACCGATACCAGGTCGTCACGCCTGTCCCGGCCGCTACGTGGCTCTCACGATTGAGAAAATCATGTTGATTGAGTTCCTCATGAACTACGATTGGAAGGAAATAGATAGGTTGAAGGATTGGTCGTTTGGATGGAATAATATTCCAGATATGGCTAGTAAGGTTCACATTAGAAGGTTGAGTGCAGAGGAAGTGGAGAAGTTGTGGGAGTAGGCCGCGTATCTAACAGAGGATGGTGCGATTTGTGGTACAGAAATTATATGGTCTGCGGTTTATAGGTGGAATTATTGTTGTTATAGAAATAGCTTCCGGTTTTACATATCTTTAATTGCGAAATATGAGATTGATTTGCTCATCAAATCGGGATGTCTCAGATAAATGATATCTAGTAATTGTCCTAACACTACGACTGTATGTCGCCCAACATTAGCGATTCTTGCCAGTTAGCTTTTGTATAAGTAACAATCCTCTCAATAATGTTGGTTTTTGATTTCCTTGTTAAGTCTCCGATCTTGAAAGAATACACAGTATTTCTGCCTACACTCTTGGCTGAGGCAAGCTAGTCACATTCGTCTAATAGGTACTCGAGAATAGCTAACAATACGCAGTATATCTGTCCGCAATATTCGCTGATCTCTAGGGATAAGCTGATTGTGTTGGTCTATTACTAGATGTGGAACAGGTTGGTCAACATGGGATTCATACTGTTATGGCATTTCTTTTTACATCGATGTGTCTTTTGCCGAGTTCAATATCGAGGCTGGATGTAATCACTCTATCATAGTATCCCTAGGGTTGTCTATCTCTATGTTTTGCGACTCTTTTTGTGTGTGTTGGAAGTTTTCCATACCTTCTCGCCTATTTATGTATTCGTGATAGAGACTTCCGCATCAATCATCTTGCTTTTACTGTCGTGCAAAAGATACCACGGATATTCATACGGTATAAGATAAGTATAAGATGGATTGAAGATATCTGCTCTTGTGTGTATGTTTCCTTTGATTTTTCTCGAGTCAACACATTTGAAACTCTTTGAGACCATCCATCAACCATTCTTTCTCCCCATACCTCCATATCTTTCCTCTTCTCGCCACATAAACGCACACCTACAAAACCTACACAATACCAAAAAACATTGCCATCTTGAATGGCCCCACATACTGCGGCGCCCACTTCTTCAACGCAGCCAAGATCAATTGATCCTGCGTTAACCCATGGTCCTTCTGAAATTTATCTATCTTCTTCTGTGCCTCTTTCGGTAAACCATCGTACCATTTGTGATAAGCGTCGATTTGTTTTTGCGTGGCTTTGACAGTGTCATCGGGGACTCCGAGAATTGTGGGATCTAAGCGTGGTTTGAGGGAAGAGGGGGGAGAGGGAGAGCGGTCTTGGAGAAGACGGGGTGGGAGTGAAGGCATGGCTTTGGGGATACAGTTGATGGTAATAGAATGAGTGTTTATGTGAGAGGGTTGAGGACGGTTGCTATAAGTACAATGACTGTAGTCGGGGAACTTCAAGCGTGATCTTGTGGGACGAATGTGGTATGAATGAGAGACAATAGCTGGATACCGCTACAAAGATGAATAAGTGAGTGAGTAGATAAACAAAAATACAGAAACTTCTGTTCACATCATACTTAATTACACACTTGAGAGATGTACCAAACATACTTGGCAGTTGGTTTGTTCATTCCTTCCATATATCAACCTAACATGCTAAAAACGTCACAAGAACACTGCCACGGACATAAAGGTTATTCGGCCTCATAGAGAACCTATTGAATTGGAAGCCTGCTCCGAATTGGAAGAACTCGGGCCGCAAAGATGGTGGTCAAACTTACACGGCGGCTAACGAAAAATACAGACCGGCCCGACCGCATTGCAGTACAGTGCCAATTCTTGGTTCCATCCTCCCTAGAATTAAGCGCCAGCGCTTGTGCCTTTCATTCTCGTAATAAAATTGGCAAGGAGATCCGAAAGTTTACGGTTGTGAACTGACATCACGCCTAATATCCGTGTGGTTAGGACTTGAGCTAATAAATATCAGCTGATGACTCCCGAAGAAATGGAAATAGTCGATGTGAGATCGCATTTCTCATGAGCATACAAGGGAAGATAGATGAAATGGATGAAAATGGGGACCCGGATGATTCATTCCAAAAATAACGCATTCCATGTTCTAGAACGACAACAAAAGAGAAAGTTTACAGAGTCGCCCGTGACGACTTTCGATCCGACTGAAAATGATTGATATATGGACGAAAAGGGCACTTACAGTAGCCACCTGTACTACGAACTAAATTCCAGCCTATTTCCCGCAAAATCTCTAGCAAAGAATCTGACGGGGTATTCCACTCCTTTCGCTCCTGAATAGGTCAGTCAATATGGGTGATTTATACGTTCATTCTCCCCTCGCGCTTTCTCCGCCCTATCTCTCAAGATCACACTTCTCTTCAGAAAAAGAACCACGTGAGAGACTCACCACTATCAACCTCACCAGGCTTATCAGCCTCTCTCGGTCTCGCCTCTCCAGCCTCCTCACTCTCGTAGAACGTCCAAATTCTCTTCTGCAATTCGATCAAAGTCTCTGGACTCGCGACTTTGAAACATGGATGCCGAGAAGATTTTGGCTCCGAAGGAGATGCGGAGTCCGAGATGTGAATCTGTTGGCCTTGGGGCGTAATGTCAAACCTTGGGGGTCTATTAGTACAATTCCATGAACAGATATGAGGATTGGAATTGATCGATAGGATCGTAGAATACTGCTGGAGACAGTGAGGAAGAGGAAGACTGGCCATACCAAGCAAGATGATCTTTCTGCAAGACCGGTACTGGAACCGAGGTGAATCCCAACACTTCGTCGTAGAACTTTTTGGCCAAGTGAAGAGTGCCGGGTAGCACCGTAAGATTTACGTGAGCGATTCCTGTGATCAACATTGTGACTCTACGTATGTGAGATACCCCAAGAACTCTGCGTTATTTTGCAGTAATATATGTGTATTTTCTTTCCTGTTTGTTTGTTTGTTTGTTTGTTTGCTTGCTTGTTCACAACATGAACGATGAAATCGTAAGAAGGGTCAGGTGGGGGTGGATCTCATACCGGGCGTGGGGAACCAATAAGGGATCTAGCTTATAAATCCTAATATATATCCTCTGCAATACATCTTTTCACCTGGAAATTACGCAATTTAGAGGGAAATTGTGCCTCGCCATACACTGAATTACTAATACTACGAGTGTAATGAAGTTAATCAGATGGTCAATAGATTCTTCATGATTTTTTGGAACCGACACAAACAAACAAAACCATGTATTCTAATATATATTTTCGAAGCTGTTAACTCCATATGCATTTTCCAAACTCCAACGCCTGTTAAACAAACAAGTAATGCGCAGATAGACTACGGTACGTTTTTTTCTGGATAGGCCACTACTTCCCCTTTCCGAACGTCGTCTATCACTATTTGCTTGATAAACTTCTCGGGAGTTGGGTTTTAGATGTTGGCTTGAGGTCGAATTACGACCATCCTGAGAAGTCTTCCCATCTAAAAGATCCTTATTTTCTTGTGTTAGTTTGTCCAAGCTAGGAAGTAAGGTGTCAGTGTTTTGGGATAATCTAGATTGCCCCGCTGTAGATGGAGCTCTTAAAGAATGCTTGCTCTTCGAGGATGATGTTTGACAAGACCTTACAGATCCATCTTCTCTTATAGACTGGGCTTTTGGAGGAGGCTGAATATCAGTGGTAGGTCTACGAGAAGATCTTACAGATCCATCTTCTCTTATAGACTGGGCTTTTGGAGGAGGCTGAATATCAGTGGGTGGTCTATGAGAAGATGCTATAGATCCATCTTCTATTATAGACTGAATCTCAGAGCGCTCCTTTGTACGACTCTCCTTTATAGAGGGGGGGTGGATAGTCGGGGGTCTTGTAGAGTGTCCCCTGGAAGATACTTTTCCAGAATAATTAGACTGCAAGTCATCCTTTGCGTTCTTTTTACTTTCATTGTCTGTGTCTCTCGAGTCGTCGGATTCAGAATCTACTTCCTGATCAATAGATCTGGAATATTCTCGGGACTTTCCGCCATTCCCACGCCCTTTTGAATCAGCGCCATCACGAGAGCGGTCTCTACTTCTTCTTCTTCTTTCTCGGCGATCGTGAGAGAAATCTTCGCCGTCTTTGGAATCGTCATGTGTGCCCCCAGGCTCGCCGCTTCCCCGACGCCGATGATGTCTATGTCGCTCCTTCTCACCATCACCACGATGTTTATGCTCTTTCTTCTCACCATCACCACGACGTCTATGCTCTTTCTTCTCACCATCACCACGACGTCTATGCTCTTTCTTCTCACCATCACCACGACGTCTATGCTCTTTCTTCTCGCCGTCACCACTATTTCTAGATCTTTCTCCATCTTCAACTTTGATAGTGATGTTTTGCCTTCCAAAATTAATATTAATAGGCAAGTTCAGGTTTTTACCCCGCCCATCAGAAGTTTTTGTAGTTCTAGTAATCGTGTGCTCAGTTACACCACCACCGAGAAGACCAGGGGACTTCTCTTTCTTATGGCCAGGAATTAGGACATACAAATCCTTGCTTTTGTCCTCTTTATGCTTGTATCTATACATTCTTCTCACTACATCCTTCGCATCCGATTCCTTTGACACTCTCATTTTTTGGGGAATTTCATATTTCTTCAAATCATACTTCTCGAGTTCTTTTTCTTCAATCCAGTTGTCGATACGTTTATCAGAACCGAAGAATAAAGGTGACGGCCTCATGGTGATTGTAGAAAGGGTGATTGAAATTTCAGAGAAGTTATTGAAATTGCGATTTGACTGGATGCTATGTGCTGTAGATTGACGATGGGATGATTTAGTATGATATGAAGGACTGCATCTTATCTTAAATACTCAAGAGTACCAACATCTGTTTCGTCAAGAACACAAATATCCGAGCATCGTACTGAACCACCAACGATACTGCGCAGGCCTAGAAGTTTCTTCCAGATGATCTACATTTCTTAGGATGTGAAGTTACCCTGGAGGAAGTTTTGTATTGGCTGATGAGTTGGCGATAGGGTCATGTTTGTAAAGCTCATCGACAGGTGTTGAAGTTAATTGAAAAGTGGCACGTTTTAGACCTCATGGCAAAAGATATTTTTTAGCTGAACGACAGGTGGTTCTTCTAAGCGGGCCGTGGTCGTGAATGATCAGACTCCGACGCATAAGGAATTATAAAAAGGGAAACAGAGAGACAAGCGGTACGTAAAAATGTGATTTTGAGATTACAAAACTAACGGTAATTGCGTTTGTAAAAATCCTAACAAGAGATTTATCAAAGCATTTTGAAAGCTTGAAGTCTTTTCATACTTTCTTCGAGACTGCGCCTCTCAGAATCGAGGCCAAGTCGCTTTTGGGCCTTGTTTGGATTCTCGCCAACTAAATTGCTTAATGCATCCTCATTTTGTTCCCCATATAATTTCTCTGAAACATACTGAGGAGAAAAAAGACGGAGTGGACCATCCGGACCAAGCAGGTGCCTTTCGATGACTTGAGTTGCAACGTTGTCGGTGAATCGATATCTAGCCAACTCATAGTAGGCCTCGAGACTATCATGAGTATTCAAAACTACCGCTAGTTCCTTGTCATGATATAGTTCGGTTCCCACAATTTTATCCGATGAGATGGATAGATTAGGAATCAGTGCACCGCCTTGTTCTTGTTTCATCCAAGCTTTTTCCTTCGCCAGAATGCTCGTAACTTCGTTAATCCTGTTCTGCTGTCTATGCATTCGCAGTGCGGTGAAATGGGGATGCAAGGTAAAGAGATGACCTTCAATTTCATCTGAAATTAGACGTTCGAGCTCCTTCGCGGCATTGACTGATGCTTTCTGAAAATCGGCATGCAACCAGTCCCGCAATTTGACACGAAGATCATCATCTGAGCAAACACTTTGAAACAATGCCTCATTCACCCGTTCAACAATGCTCTCCGCCTCAGCAAGAGCGGCCTCAGCGATGGCTCTCCAGCCTGTGGTCTGTTTTCTCCACAAAAAGTCGACCACTAATGGATTGAGGTCACCAGGAAATTCAGTCCCGCGAAAGCTCTCAATTACTTGACGTATCCAGCCATAGGTCGGATCTATAGATTCATGTCAGCATTTTCATGTTTTCGTTGTTCATATTAATGTTACTAAATACCTCTCATGAGTTTCTCCGACCATGTCATTCCGTCGTCGGCAGGGATAAGCTTCGCTTCCGCTGTACAAGTAACAAAGGGCTTCACTGGACCCTCTGCCTGTAATGTAGTACAAAAATTGTCAAGCCCATCTCGAATTAGCTTTCTCGCAAACATATCAGACTTGTTAAGCCCTCGATAGTTGCCATTTAGAGAATTTTCCGTCATTCTAGAGTACTTCGTTGCAATTCCATTTATCAAGGTAAACTGCTGGAAATTGGTATCGCACGGTGGCCCTAGTTTGGAGATATCATTGTTGCACAGAGCAAGCTTTGCTTTGATCTCGGATAGAAGACTGGGTATACTCTGTTTGACATGTCTATTCCGCATCTTTATCAGATTGCTTCGTAGATGATGTCTGCCAAGCCTCTTTTTATTTAATCGATTCCATTCATCGCCTGAAAAGAAGGCATCCTCTATAGCATCTCTTTCTGCATCGCTGATGTTGGCTTCGATTGGTGCCCTGTTACGCAAACCGTACCACCCTTCTTTCAGGTATCGTGGGGATTGGTCATCATTCTTGATGAGCTCAAAAACCTTGCGAAAGTTGTCAATAAGATATTTTATAGAAATATTAGGTCAATTTACCCAGTCGTGTGATTGCTTTTGCTTGGTATCACACTTGTTGATAACTCCAACTATCCTAGACTCTTTATCCTCTATGTCGTCGAGCATATGCAGGACTTCCTGCCTTTCGAGATCGATCACATCAATAACAGCCCTTGATGATGTAAGTGGAATGACCAAGTAAGATATTGTCTAAGGGCCAGGACGTACACAATGATGCTTCTTGGGTTATGCATGTAATGCTGGACAAGAGTTTTGGCTGTTTGATGCTCCGTGTTCTTAGCATCACCTGGGATACACTGTCAGCTCTATAAACATAAGTAAATGATGGTAATATTCACCACGGACAAGACCAGGTATGTCTACAATCGCAAAATTCTTCTCGTCGGGGCCACGTCTAGTTATGCGTAGCACAGAGCTACTTAATCTATTATATTTCGGTCTTCTACCAGGCCGGACATCGGCATGGTCTTCAATGATAACAGATTCTGCCTATGCACTTGTAAGTAACTAAATCGTAGAGAAAAACATCTGTCTTGAGCCGAACCTGCTTGAATATAGATTTCATCGTTTCCTTGTCAAGTGCGGGCCCGAAAGCTAACGGACGCCATGAGGACAATAACTCCTTCCGCTCTTGAGTTTCATTGGAATCAGGAATGATCTCAACGGTCACCGAAACTGTGTCACTTGGCGAAGTTCTTTTGTGCACAATCTCGGTTGCAAAGCGAGTACACATCTTATCATCGGTTGGAAAAGGAATCTCTGTCACAGCTTGGAGCACTGAGCTTTTACCAACACTTTGGTCTCCAACGACGATCAGCTAAAACATGTAAGTTTAAGGTAACACGCGCAAGAGAAAAGACATACTTGGGGCAAATTCACATATTTGGAGACGCCCAACTTGTGCAGCTCATCCATGAGCTCGAGCTCTGCTTGTGTCTGTTCATCTCCAAAGTCATGACCTATGGGTGATTTGAGATCTGGGTATGCGGAAACCATGATGTGATCGCCTTGGAGAGGTTAAGATTGTGTTGTTTTAGTTGAAAGTCTAAAATAATTTGAGTACTATCGATTGATAAGTGTCTGCGAACTGGCTTCTCACAAGATTATGCAAAACAGTCCTGCTGTATACGATTTTAATAAGAATATGATTTTGAAAGTAAGTGGGAAATCCACCTCTTCTATAAACTATGCAATTGTATTTGTATTGGAACTATCCCGAAATTGTTGACACGAAAGTGCATGGATTCTAAGATTTACTCCCTAGCAAACTTTAGATTCTGCAGCTGAAAGGCTGAAAAGTCACAATTAACATTACAAAAATATCCTTCCTACATCCCGAGATACATGAGGTTGCAATACTCCCCTGGGCCGCAATCCAGCGACCAAAAGTGAGCAATTCTCAAGGTACAGCGCGTGTTGGTTGGTGACTGTTGGTCCCGCGATTATGGTTCGCCAGGGTGCTGTTCTTATCGAATGTGTTCACTGAAGATACTGTTTCAAGTACAAAACAGTTCGTATCTATATATCAATCCACTAGGAATGCCACATTGTTGGGCCGACTATTGCATGCCAAACGAGATAAAATGTAAATATGGTGACGAGTAGTGCTGCCTTGTGCCGCTCGTTTGTGATACGGGCGCAGATGTGATGGCCTTTACAGACAACCGTCTGATAAACTTTGAATACACTATGTATTGGATGAAACGAGATGTAGGAAGAGACATGAAAGAAAACAGAGGCAACGAAAGAAGGAAGAACAGCAAGCCTACCTAGGACAATAAGTTTGCCCCTTAGACACGAAATGATGCTTCAATGCCAATCTTTCATCGCAAACATGGATTGATTTGAGACCATGAGATGAACATTCGATGCACTCTGCCACATTTAATGTCTTAGTTAACTCGAAACAATGAAGTGGTGATATCTTCTTGATGGAGAGAATAAGGAGTGGGACACAGCCAGTGATATGATGTGTTCTCGGTAGTGAGAAGGCTGGCCCTGAGTGATATTTCGAGACTTGTTGTCAACTACTCAACCAAATCATGCTCCTAGACATGATCGAAGAAGCAAAAATATGAAGGAGATTTTGAATTATGAATTTGTTAGGAACAAGAAAATGGTGACGACATCTACCTCGAGATCTACCACATTCGGTCAATTTGCTTACTGGCCTCGGTGTACTAGATGGCCCAAGCTCCAAAATTTGTCTATCAATCCTCAACACGTAAACACCACACTCCCTCCTTCATCAGCTCAACTTCAAGGTCAACAACAAGCTTTTCTTTCACTCACTCGCACTTCCTCCTCTACCCAACACAAGCCCCCTCTCTCCCGCTGCGATTACAACCATGGATCCTCAAGATACCCGCTCACCCCCCGTCAAAAAGCGTGGTCCGAAACCCCTCCAGTCCTCCAATCGCAAAACCCAATACCTAATCCTCTACAACTTTGTGTCCGCACTTCTCTGGCTCGTCATTTTGGGTCGAGTAGTTCTCCTTGTCCCACTCGTCGGATTTGGGCGCTTGTATCCTGCTGTTGGTACCTTTGTAAAATGGACACAAACTATGGCACTTCTGGAGGTTGTGCATGCAGCTCTTGGTTCGTTCTTTCCCTCACCATCCTTTTTTATGCGGTTGTGGTTGAGATAATACTAATTCTCAATCTCTAGGAGTTGTACGAGCCCCAATTAGCACAACTGGTATGCAAGTAGCCAGTCGACTCCTCCTCGTCTGGTTCATCGTCAACCCATTCCCATGGGTAGCTAAAAGCACTGGGTACTCTACAATGCTCATTGCATGGAGTGTCACCGAAGTAATTCGATACTCTTACTTCGTTATCACACTTAGTGGATACAAGCCTGATATCGTTACTTGGTTTCGCTATAATACCTTCTTCGTTTTATATCCATTGGGGATCAGTAGTGAATGTTGGTTGATTTATAAAGCTATTGAACCTGCGGGAGAAATATATGGATCTCTGTATCCTTTAGTTTTGAAAGCAATTCTGCTTATTATATTCCTGGTATGTTTCATGGTGATAATCTTGAAGATATGGGGATGCTAACGAGATGCAGGTTCATATATTTTATTCACACACATGATTAAGCAAAGGAGTAAGGTTTTGCGAGCACAGCGAGAGATTTTGAAAGATGAATAGAGCACCCAAATTCCCATAGATTATAGATCAAATAGGGGTGCTAGAATGGTTCGGATGGTGTACATATCCGGTCAGCCAAAAATGGAACATTCATCGAAAAGTTGGTTGGCTGCACAAATTTATAGATTTCTTCTAACTCCAAAGCCCGCTTAACCCTCCCTAACTTGTACACGATGACTGTTTGATTACATTGCAATGATTCTACCAAATCTTGCGGCTTACAAGAAGGTATTTCGAATGCATCGTCATATGTCAACTTCTACGTAGCTTTACTTAAACAACATTCACAAGCAAATAGACTCACCAAGTTTAATATCAACGAGCGAAGAAACACATGTTCTATTCATAAGACTACAACTGCAATGTACAGAAACATAGATATCATGCGTGCCTTTATTCAACCAATCGAGCGTCAAAAAAGTTAAAAAGTTGAGAGAATCAAAAGATGTAGTGGAAGGAATCTCATCTTCTTTTCCCCTTTCCACTGACTGACGCCTGTCGCCCCTTTCCCATACCCTGACATCTTTCCTTGACTTCATGAGTATCCTTTGCTCTTCACTTTGAGGAACAAATTCCGCCACCGCTAGCAAAATAAAAGTCCACGTGCTTGGGAAATGGTATCTCATTTCTTCAATAAGTCGATAGATTGTAAAATGAGCCGAAGTATTATGCACGACTTTGGCTGTAAAACCAGCGTGTCCAGCACACCTAGGAGATAATAGAAGAGATTGAGCGAAACTTATCAGATGTCATGTAATTCTAAACCTGAGAATCGAGATGAGGATGATTATGGCGTGGGTATTCATATTATTATAATTGTACGGGATAGGCTTAAAATCAAGCTCAATGACGTGAGGATGTTGGAGGATGCACCCCGTCACGGAAATCGGCGCCATTGGAAACCGGCTGTGCTTCGGGCTTACGTCCAGCTGGCCAAAAGTCGATAGCCTCAACGATATCCTCTCCTCGCTCATCCTCATAAGCATATATGATCTACAATCAATCAGTATTTTTTATAAATTCACGCATGAATGTTAGGATGACACATACCTCTCGAGTGCTCGTATGCAGCATACGAATGCTCTTATGAGGAACAATATGAACAGCGTTAGTCTCAATATTCCTAATTTCAATAAAGTTCGGTTCGAAGGCGAGTATCCAAGGGTATGAAAGTGCGAAGCTCTGTGGTAGTCCCTCCCAATCAATCCTCCAGTCAGGTCTAGCTCGCCATCCATTGCGGTTGACGAAGAAAGAGAATTCAGAGTAGTTGAGAAGAAACTCTCCGTTCAATCGCTCGATGTGTATTGGTCGTACGTTCTCTTTTCGAGCAACGAAGTCCAAAGATGTATCTGCCTGATCGAGAAGTGATTGAGTCTCTAGCGTTTCCAAAGATACTACTTCGAAACCACGTGCACAAGCTACACACAATTTTGATTTGAGGAAATGTATGGACGAAGATTCTGTTGGAATATAGAATTCTTTGAATGCCTTCAACTCGTCTTGACCATTGCTAAACATTTTGAAACCTTTTTGCTTCTTCCCTTTGGACATCGCGTCATTGGGCTCAAATACTTTGATAGTAGTCGACAAAGCCGATGATTTAACACAGCACACAAGGTGGCGGCCTAAGCATATCCCTGTGCGGAAGAAGTTGCAATGGCTCTGTATTTTCTTGGGTCGTTTCGAAAGTGCAGGCTCGTTCGGATTCAGCGCAGAAAGAGGATAAGACTGCAAAGATTTATTGGATAAAACCAGCAGAAGGTTGTATTCCTCGAGAACATCAATCTGTGTGACACTGGTAGCATCCAACACTCGAAGTGGCTTTGCAGCAGCATCTTTTGATCTGCGATCAGAAACGAAGATGCCCGAATCCGTACCGTATATCAGTTTACGTCCACCATCGAACGGTGCCACACAGTTGACCCTGTTCACGGTCGTGAAGAAGTTACTAGAAATGATAGATTTATTGTAGAAATCGCCTCGCGCACGTAATATGGCTTGTTGTTCACCTATGTGCTCCATCCATTTGTTCCTCATCCCTGCACTGCTTGCGTACAGTGTCAATTCATACCCACCTCTACCAAGATGTCTGAAGGTGATGGGGAACCCATCTTTCTTACTATTATCATTTGTAGGAGTCTTGCTAGGAATCAAACTTGATGATGGACGTTTCACAACTCCAAGCTTAGGCATAAACTCATCCATTTCGCGAATAGTTAACAGTTCAAGAGGAATTGGGCGACGATATACTTTAATTTCCTCCTTCTTTGCCACTGTCTTGACACGTACGAGAAGAACAGCGTGGTCGAAAAGGTAGGCCTGAATATCAGTTGGATCTGTTGGTGTCTTCTTCAAGGGTCCCTTGTGGATAAGCTCTCGGTTTTCGTCAGTAAGCTTTAAATCAACACGCTCATTGGGCCTGAAACGAAGCTGTTCGTGCAATCGCTTCAGGTTGAAGCGATTCTCGGCTTTTCCGGATTCGGCATTGACCCTGGTGAGGAGTTCACGAATCATCTTCATGGCTTTCGGGATATCTTCCTTGTCCTTGTTTCCATCGTCGGTATACTTAAGAACATTGTCTAGCAAAAGTGGGTAACGGGCAAGTCTTGTTGTCGGCTTTGTTAGATAACCATTCAGTTCAAGCTTTCTTGACTCTTTTCGCCTCTCTGTCTCGTCTACAAATTTAGAAAACGAGGGATTCAAAGATCGCTCGTTCTCAAACTCAAATTTTCCCGCCAGTTGATTTGATCCGTATATAATAAAAGGCTCAAACTGGGGTACGAATTGGAGGAATATATCACCAACACATTGCACGACAGGATGCTTCCGCTGGCGTTCTGTAAGTGCTTCGGCGAATTTAGAACTGATAGCATGAATGCTCGGTGGATCAACAATGTTTGAGAATATGGTTCTGACTATTCTCTCTTTTCGAGCCTCTGGAATAGGTGATGGAGAGAGTTGATTGACTGAGCGTAATGGGAGAATCCAAAAGTCTCGTAGATATTCGAGATCCTTTACAAAATCTCTTTCGGTGTACATAATCTCTGAAATGACTTCTTGACGTTTCTTCTCCCGTTCACCAACGCTATCCGCAATTTCTTGAGAGACTGTGTTAATCCAGAGCTTTTGCTCGTCAGGTTCGTCGACATCATGCAGACTTGCTTCGGACTTTTCGCGACGAAGACCAGGTTGTGGCTTCAGGTTCAATCGAGATTGCTGTTCAAGTCGACGAGGGCAAGCTATCGAATAGCACAACTGATCTCTAGTACACGTTGGAGAGTAACATTCGGTGAGTAAAACGAACACGCCATTGACTTCTGGTGCTTCATGAGGTTCGTCCATCATCGTTTCTCGAAATTGATACATCTCTGTAGCAGAGTCACGTAATCGATGATCGTAAGTGACATCGTGAAAAAACTTCTGGGCATCAAGAGCTCTTCCAAGCAACAAGGCAAGATTTCGATCGGTGGTCTTGATGATATACGAGATAATGTCCACCGCCTCCGCTCCACTGAAAGCATTTTTGTATGTGAGATCATTCTTCGTTCTATCACCGACATTGATTTTTTCTCGAAAGCAGTCGCCAACCCGCGACAATAGTGCCGGATATACCAGAGGAGCTTTGTGTCTAGATGATCCTCCGGCCGTGCTGCTAATTGACTTGGCCGAAGGCCGATGCGTTAAGACATCCGAATGCTCCGGTGGGACAATAGTTGAAGCCATGGACATCGATCGGCTCATATCTGGCGCAACAGTAGAGGCCATACTAGCAGTCCGTGTTGCAGTTGCGGGAACAGGAGGGGGGATAGAAAAAGCTGGTAGCTCCTGCGGCCCATTCCCCGAAGTCCGTCGATTTGGAATCACTCGTCCACTCATAGTCTGATGCTGGTCACGATCTTGTGGATAGGTAGTCAATGACATTGTGCGCTCATCAGGTCTCTCTGGAATATTGCGTCCGAGAGCGGTTGTTTTTGCGGGTTGGTGTTGATATTGAGCTTGCCGAAAAGCATTGGCGGGAGCTTGATTGAAGTTGCTAGGTGGCGGTTGGTACATTTGTGGCCTGGGTATACTTGCCATCGATTGAGACCGATAGGGATCGGAGGCGAGTGCTGGAGCATTGCCTGTGTAATATCGCTGCTGTTGAGGTCTAGGAGGAAATGGTTGTTGGGGTGCAATGCGCTGAGGAGTAGGGTACGGTCGTCGATCGCTACGAACCTGCTGTGGTAAGGAATGAGGCTGTGGTTGTGAAGGTACTTGTCCAGGAGGTGGTTGTCGGGGTCCTTGATAATAGCCATTGGCCATGCCGCCTCCATTTGGTATATTGTTCCCCTGTTGAGGCCGATATCCGCCCTGGCCCGGAGCTTGTCTGGGAGGCATTCCGCCTTGCATTCCTGACACCTGCGAGGACATCGTTTGTGTGCGACCCTGAGGCATCATTGGAGGAGACACAGATGAAGTCATGGTTTGCGATCGGCCGGGAGGAGGGGCAGCACCGAAGATATTAGAGAAAGCGGTTTCCCGTTGATAGTTCGAAGCATGACCATATTCATTCGGGCGACCATTATTCCCCCGCCCTTGCTGATAATCTGCCATTTTATATGCCAAAGAGTATTTTTGTTATGTGAATGCAATGTAACTCTATTCGTTGATCCTTCTGTTGGCCTAGAATGAGGAGCCAAGACTCGAAGCCGAGGGAATTAACCCCGGGACAACCTCAAGACCGGTGATATTATGGACCCTACTATAACATCCACTAGTACGGGGCTTAAAATTCCAATGTCGAATTGATTTGAGGTGGTTGTTGAGGTTGAGATACGGGTAAGATAATGATTAACTTTGTTGTTTCGGAGTCGGAGGATGAGTTGGGGTTGTAAGTAGTTGATCAGCTCAATCGAATGAATGATCAGCAAGCCTTTCTAGAGTCGTATTGCGTGTTAATTATTTATCTTGTTCGCAGGAGGAGATAAATAAATGAGATAAAAAGCATCGGAAGAATGACGCCGACGTTAAGATGTATGCTTCTTCTTCTTCTTCTTCTTCTTCTCCTTCTCCTTCTTCTTCTTCTTTCCCTTAATAGGCTCAACAGAATGTTATAAATCTTCCCAGGCTGCTGGTTACTCTAGAAGGGTAACCAGGAGTAGGATTCCTCGTTATCGAAGACTGACTGACTGAACTGAATTGTACTGTATTGTAATGTATCGGTGGTGTTGTTGTTGTGTACTATCTGGAACTAAATTTTTGGCTAGTTCGAGTTCTTTTTGGCGGCGCGCCGGAGCATTGGATGGTACCGTATCCTTTTATTAGTGTGGCTTTCGGATGCGGCGAGAGAGGAATCCTTCTTCCCTTCGAAGCTTGGAAGTCTCAATCAACACTTCACAAAGCTAGAGAATGGGTAGTAAAGAACACGCTTGGAATCAAAGGTAGAGTAGTAGTGAGAACTCCTGGAGGATCAGCACTTCATCTGCCTGTGCACCCTGATCTCTGATAATTGACTTGGCAAGAGTGATTGTAATTATTATTCTTGTATTCACGAACATGATATCAAATGCATACGTCTACGAGGTATCGACTTGAACAATTGGATGTTTTTTTCGAATTCGGGTGTCATTTAGGTGACTAAGCCGCCCTTGGACAATTTTGGTGGTGTGTACTCGTACGGTTCGGGGTAGATGTGACTCTGTAGATTATCTGTCAGTGCACTTCACTGGGTGCAGTACGTACTGTGTGTGTGTGCATCGTGCTCTGTACGGAGGATTGCGTAGAAAGAGAAAAGAGGCGCTTGTCTAACTTCTTACTATTAGCTCCACCCAACTGAAGCCTGGATTTGGATAGCTTTCATCAAACAACACAACAACACTCATTTCGCAACCTCTCAACTGTCAACTGTCAATTTCCATCCAACTTTAGTACATCAATACACTTCCCGAGTAAATCAATCATGGCAGAATCAGATCTGGCCCCAAAGTTCGCCCCCTTCTTTGGAATGGTACGAAGCTCAAACATTCGTCGTCTTGTTAATGTCACTATACTAATAGCTTCTGCAGGCTGGTATCGCCTTTGCGATGACTTTCGGATGTATGCCATCACTTCTCAAGCTCAAACTTATTGCACAGTTCACTAATAGCCTCAAGGTATCGGTGCCGCATATGGCACGGCAAAGTCTGGTATCGGAATCGCAGGTGTTGGTACTTTTAGACCTGACTTGATCATGAAGGTGCGTAATTATCCAAGAAGATTCATACATGCTACACGTACTGATTTGGTGCTCGATTTAGTCACTTATCCCTGTGGTCATGTCTGGTATCATTGCAGTCTACTCTCTCGTCATCGCCGTCCTTATAGCTGGAGATATGGGACCTCCTCCTGGCCAGAGTTACAGTTTATTCAAGTATGCACAGCTTGTTGGGGTTTGTACAGGCAAATACTGACATATTCATAGTGGATTCATGCATTTGGCATGTGGTTTATCGGTTGGATTAACGGGCCTGGCCGCTGGTTATGCAATTGGTGTAGTTGGTGATATGGGCGTTCGATCATACATGCAACAATCACGAATCTTTGTTGGAATGGTCTTGATATTGATTTTCGGCGAGGTCCTGGGACTATACGGGTAGGCTCACTTCACAAAATTATCTTCAAATTGTCACATTGACTACATACTAATTCGTTATCTCAGCTTGATTGTCGCACTCATTCTCAATACCAAGAGCAGGGGTTAGAGATTCATTACCAGAAGTAAATACTCTTTTCCGGTCATACGACAACATTATTTGATTAGATATGAGGTGACGGCATTGCTTGGAGTTTGGGACCTGTATAGTTTGTACCAAACATGCCGCAAATGTTTGAGAATCGATCACTGTGTACAACACCTTCGAAAACAAGCGCGATTATAATCTATCGACAATCGGGCGGCGAATTCGCGCTTCACAAATTTTACTTGTCACACTTGCCTGATCTTCGTTCAGTATGCACGCGCAAAAGATATCCCTCGCGCAGCATACATATTCTACAGACTCAGAGGGGTTATTCCATTTCTAGTCAGGTGGGTATTCCATCAAGTTCTGTGTGGTTGTACACCATCTTTATCCAACATTGTATACTATTCAAACCTTATCATTTCTTCTTGGTACACATTTCCAACTGATAGGGCCCGTCGGTGTTTCTTTGTGTTCTCTCCTGTATTGTTCTACGTTGCCAGGCTATCTCCTTCCGGGACTGGATACCATTTTGATGATGTCGATGCACCTTACCTAGCAATTTTTATTCCAGTTGGGCGCCTAGTCGCAGAACATGAGCAAGGCTTGAGTGCTGCAGCTATTTGCGTTCAAAGGGGATACCATGAAGGTGTAGAAAGCACTGCCTGCCTTGCCTGTCCGGTCGTCGTTGAAAGGAGCGGCAGGAGATAGAAAAATGCATGTAATGTCAACTTTATATATCTCCGATCAATCTTTCAAGGTCTTTTCGTGAAGGTGGTGACCATGCATGATATCCAACTCCAAAGCCAAAAACGAGAACTTGATTTTGCAACGAAGATGAACCAGGTTGACCTAAAGATTTAACTCGGAACAACCGTGATCACTCTGATAGAAACCCAACCTTTTTTTGAGTGTTAAGCTCAACTTGATTTGTTGCGTCAAACCAATAATGTACAGTCCACGAGTATTAACCGTCTATCATCAAATAAATTCAATTGAACGAAACTTATCACAATCCAAAGTAATCATAACTATCGACTGGAATATTTATTGAAGAATAATCCTGTTGGCCGATCCCCATCTTCGGATGCCCGCGAACCCGTCAAGTCATGGGTAGATTCTGGAGTAACCTTGTGATATTGCAAATGAATTCTCCCATTGGATGAAACTCACGACATGTTAACTTCCTCGCTTCCTGTCCCCTTTCAGTTTTACTTTGTCAGTATGACTGATGATTGTTCCACGACATAGGTAGTGTAGTGTCTATCACTACATTTGTACCTACCTAGTAATCACTACTAGCTGGAGGTGTTTACTCCCAAAGCATGAAATCATTGATGAAATTAAATAAACGTTATCGGTATCGGTATCTTAGCGGCAGGTATCAGCCACACAGCCGCCACATTGTCAAATCTCGAAGCCTCCGGCTCCTGCAACACAAAGTTTATGCTAATCGTATGGATGGCCCCGGATATCTAGTAATGGAATTGATGAGGCTTCAAGTCGGTACCTAAAGCTAATTTGTAAACTATACAAACTTGGAAACCCGGTGACTTTATAATATTCTTAAAATATAACTTTTCGGAGTGTTTGATATATCAAATTAGGTGTAGAGCTAGATTCCAAGGTTAGGAGATTATTTCTATTTTCTTAGAATTTTTAAACTCCTATTGGATTTAAAGCTGTATTCGATTATATAATTTTGATTTTTTTTATAGTTATCTAGTATTATAAAGTTATTGGGTTTCTAAAGTTGGTCACGCTGGTGTAGTGTATTAGTTGGGGTATTGACTAGCTCGCGAGTGACAGAAGAAACCGAATACCAAACCTACAAAATATTTAAAAATCTTGAAAATAAATTCTTTTCCAAATTGAATCATAATTGGATTTTATATTTCAAATCTTTCAAACTGATTTAAGGGTATTATTAGTTAATGATTAATAAGTCTTGGAATCTTTAAGAAATCATATTGATTTGTTGTTTAAATATCAAATTTCAATTGAAGTGTTGATTTTTAGTGTTCGACTTTTTCTATCACTCGCGAGACTAGTAGCCTCGACAAATACCTTTCTAGGTGCACGGTTAGTATCTTTAGACTCGCCAAGGTGCAACTAACCATTCTGCAAAAACCTTCTTCCTATCTACAAATTTTGTATCCCCTCTTCCTCGGGGATCCCTTCTGTCGTAGGCGACAAGTACCTCCGGGACTTACTTAGTTTGTGAGAGTATTATGGTCAGGTGTCACGACATCTTGTGTTTGGTCAAACCCTCAATTGCTAGATATCGCTAACTGTTCCTATCTCGTACTCAGCTTCCTTCACAAGATTAGATGGATTTCACGTTTAAGGGCATTCTTGCCATAATGTACATGATCAACTGTTGGAGTGGAAACCACGTCGACGTGGTCGTGCTCATACAATCCCTGCTTCACGTGCTAATGTAGATCAGGTACAAGTAAAGCTCACGAGGGCTTAAACTGAAGCTTATTTCCACAAGTGTATCTTCTGGCTCGTTTTACTTCTTTGCCTGCTTGAGTTCCCAGCCACTGCTGCACACGATGCCCGACATTTGAGATTGTTTTCTTCATTATTTCACAAAGTAAATTAGTCTGTTTTTTGTAGTTATGGCACAATACAATCTTTTTGCTGGGGACAAAGTGCAGATCTTCCTTTACGGTGAAGTGACTCTCCGCCCTTGATAAACCTCCTGTTGTCACGGGATCGCTAGTGCCTTCTGTGCTTTAGAATTTGCTGCTGCAGGCAAGCTATGCCTATCAGAAGGAATTCCGCCGTCCTCGGAGAGATGCGATGATACTAACTTTGTACCTATGCAATGGTCGCAGGTTTGTCTTATGATTGGACCAGAAATTTTTGAATCTGCCATATCTGAAGCCGTTCGGATTCGCTGGACTACCCACCATGAGATCATTGCCTAGGTACTTTTGCAATGTCTTTTTGATATGACACAATAATTCACTACTCGTTGTGAGACAGAACGAGTAGTGGGGGATTGCACAGGACGATCAAATCTGAAGGAAATCTTAGGGCACCTCGGTGTTCCCTGGTATGTAATGTTCCTAGTCGGCCACTAACGAGAGCCAAGTATTATAAGAAGACAGTGAATCCTCTTGCTGCCAGGTCCTTATTAAGTCCTCATCAAGTCCTCAATTCAAGGATCCACCACCCCACCTTCAATCTGTACATCGCCCTCGGAACTTGTCAAAGATGCTTTCCCATATCACAGTCTTCCTCGCTCTCGGAGCAATTGCTCAAGCAGCTCCAACTCCAGCTCCAGCAGCTGCCTCTTCCGGTTCAGCCTCCCACAGTGTAACAGCAATTCACAATCCGAATTATGTTCGCAATGGTACTGCATCTTTGCTCAAGGCCTATGCCAAGTACCACATTCAGCCTACCCAACTAATGTCTGATGCGTTCATGTCGGCACTCCAAAAGAGACAGGATTCTTCTGCTCCAGCTTTCCCAGTCGATCGTGTTGAGTATCTCGTTCCTACTACCGTTGGAGGTCAAACTCTTAACCTTGATTTGGACACTGGTTCGGCAGATTTGTAAGTGCCACTGTTCTTGAATACCTCCACCCTACAAATCGTGATCTTAGAGGTTCAAATTTACTTCAAGTGACGATCAATGTATCTCTCTTTGTTTTATCAATTTTACTGACTATTCTATCAGATGGGTTTTCTCCTCTTTCCTAGCTGCCTCCTCTCGCAGAGGTCATGACATGTAAGGAATCATTCGTACCAAAATGAGATAGCACAAGTCAAGAACTAACAAAATGCTTTAGCTACACCTCAAGCAAGAGTTCCACATTCAAGGCTCTCTCAGGTTACACCTGGAGCATCCAGTATGCCGATGGATCTGGAGCCAGTGGCACTGTAGGCACAGATACCGTTAAGATTGGTGAGACTACAGTCACTGGCCAAGCAGTTGAACTTGCCGACAGAGTTTCTTCTTCTACATTTGTCACTGATGAATCTGATGGACTCATTGGCATGGCTTTTAGCAGCATTAACACTGGTAAGTCTTCGCAACCTAGACAATCACTCGATAAGAAGACCGCGTCGCCTAACTTCACACACAATTAGTTGAACCAAAAGCTCAATCCACCTTCTTTGACAATGCCGAGAGCTCTCTCAGTTCCCCCACTCTTCGCCGCCTACCTCCCATTCAATGCGGATGGAGCATACGACTTCGGATACACCGATTCTTCCAAATACACTGGAAGTATCACGCACACCCCTGTCGACTCCAGAAACGGTTTCTGGGAATTCCCCTCTACATCTTACAAAGTCGGCTCTACCGCCCACAGTTTACCAGGATTCACTGGTATTGCCGATACAGGAACCACACTTGTCCTCATGAGCGACGCCGTCAATACTGCATACTATGCTCAAGTGTCTGGTGCCAAGTACTCCAGCACTGATGGAGGATACGTATTCCCTTGCAATGCTACTCTCCCTACTTTGTCGTTCAAAATCGGCCCAACTGACTACGCGACGATCCCGAGTTCTTTGATGAATTTTGCAGCTACGGATGGAAACAATTGTTACGGCTCGCTTCAAAGTGTAGCTGGCGGTATTCAGAGCATCTATGGAGATGTTTTCTTCAATGCTTACTATGGAGTTTTTGACAAGAGTGGACCTTCATTTGGTTTCGCTACTAGTGCTTCTGCTTAAGAAGTCATGCATGATATGATGGAATTGATCTGGGGGGTTCGGGTATGAAATTATGGGAACGAATGGCTTCATGGGGCGGAGATTTGATTTGTACTTCTGCGGGCGGGGGTTCTGCAACCTGGCTCTTAATGTCATATTTGGTTGCTTCTCTTTATTATGATCTACACATTTACTAATACTCCTGCTGTCTTGTTAATGATTTCTGTGATCTTTTGCGTGTGAAATTTGATTCCTGGTATGATGTGCTGTAATAGGAGGAGAAATAAGGGGGAGGGTAGGGGAGAGAAGAAGTGAATTCCCCTCCGGCGATGCCAGGAGCTAGGCTCGGTACTACGTCTTGGGTGCTAGCGCTATGAATATTATTTTTGTATCTACCTAGGTAATGTTTCAGTGTCCTGCCAAATTTTAGCCGCGGGTACAAATCACAGATTTCATACACGGTCAAAAGATCGGTTACAAACCCAGCGTGGAGTCAGCAGTACTGTTTCAGATGCTCGAGGACTTGGCGCTTCTGCCAAGCTTTGCTACGTGATGGAGATGAGGAGGCAGTGAGTCAAGGTTCCTAGGTAGGTAGTTTTTTGATGTTTGCTAGGTACTGAGATTGGCATGTGAAGTTAAGCTAACGGGACAGGAAATCACTGAGAAACAGAAGTTGGATAGATCATGGTAAATACCAACCTCGTCATTTAAAAGAGACTCGCTTTAAGATAAAGTTGAAAGTTGAAATGCTTGAAGTGTTTCATGGTATTGTGTATCTGGGTATGTAATGCATTTAGGATTATCGATTCACTCCATTCTCTTCCGAGGCGTACCGATTTATATGGTACGATCACCAGGCAATCTCTTACTCTGGACTCGAATGTATTAGAGTTTGAAAGGAAGGGGGGAAGCAAGGAATGATGGTGTTGTTCTTGTTTTGGTATTCTTGAGGAAGGCAGGTGCTTTTACTAGCGCTACTAAGTCCCCCCTCCTCTCTCTTCAAATCGAAAAGTTCTCTTATAGTTTAGATCAAAGTGTAGAATCTATAGAACAATTTGGAAGTATGTTTGGACAATCTCGTCTCTTTCTGATCATCTTTGATTTCAATGTATTGGATGACATGAAACATCTCGGGCTGTGAGATACCTTCCTCCTTGGGACAAATCTTTACTGCATCTATGTTTCCTTTAATATTCTTCCATCTATAGCTTATTGTCTTACAAACCATATGACATTACAAATACACTAGGTAGGTAAATCGGTCTTGGGTTTAAAGGCCTGGCATCAACTCTTCTCATGATGCAAACGAAAGATGCAAATCCCATTATGTATAGCCAACAGCTGTCAAAAAGATAAACGAGTGTCTTAAATATCACAGAATTACTTCGGGAATAAAAGTATATATACCTACCTATTTACCTAGCTAATGATAGTGTATATGAATGTTCTACTCTCAGGTTCACCAGGTGGTTGTAAAGTTCAGATCTTAAAGCTAACAGCCGATACTTCTTGACATTCTTGGGCCAGTTTCGATGTTCAAAAGCTCAAATCCAAAGCATCATGATTGCATCAATTTGTCACTATTTACACTTCAGCCACTGGGGAGACAGTATTCATAAGGCGAGACTGGTGCTTTTAAAGTTCGAAGATGACATCGAACATCAGAGGTGATGTCACACTGAATGGAAAGCAAAAACTTGAGACCAGCATACACAATTGCTGAGTTTCGACCTGTTGACTGCCATTGCAAAATTTGATGTCTACTAACTAGGTAGTTTCCTATTCACTATACTCGCTTGCCACAATACCTAGCAGAATTTGATATTGAATTCGCTAGGCAAAAGTGAATCTGACGACAACGCAAACGCCCGTACATAAGAGAAGAAAGTCATTACAGCCAGTACCTACAACCAATCAACAAACTACGACCCGTACGATAGAAAACTATAAGAGAGTTGATAATCGAATGGTATAAATTCACACATACAGTTCTCTTTTCGCAAAATTAACTCTTCCCTTTCCTGTCTCCAGAACTCACATCATCATACAAATTATTAACAATCAAACAAAACAATGTCTATGGAATTCGGAAATTGTTCAGTCGACGGCCATTGAGGGCGCGACTTTTTAACTTCAATATTGACGATACGCCAGCTCAAAAGCAGAAGGATGGCACGTAAGTAATATTTATTAATAATTCACGTGATGAGCGTAACAATGCTGACCTTGGAATGTACAGTCCTTGAAGCCTTGTCCCAGGACCGATTGCGTCGCACATCGAACAAAGCAACGCAGCTTGAATGGGAGCTCAAAGAAGTGCGCATGTTGGCCCACAAAAGGAAGGCAGATGTCGACAAGAGTCGCCCAGCTCGAATCCTATGACCAAAGGACTTCAAGCAGCACATATCGATCTTGCAGCTTTGAACCTATCGTTGCGAAATTGGAAGCAGGTTATATCGAAGAAAAAGAGGAAGAACGAAAATTTCGCAGTTCTCGAAGAAGATTACATCAAGAGAAGCGGAATCTCGAAGCAAGATATACCGCAGAGAAGAAGAAGCAAAACCGTCGAGTACAAGGATCTAAGAGAGAAACACTTTGACCTACAGGATAAAATGGCCGAGGCAACAGTAGATAACGCTGCGACTATAGCGGTCCTTGAAGCGCAGATTACAAAGTTGGAGTTACAAATCGTGCATAAGGACAAATACATCGAACATCTCGAAGTTCAAACGGCTGCTAGGGAAGAGGTGTGCACTGTTAGAGAACAGCGATGTAACGATATCGAGGGAGAAAGGCGCAATTTGAAGAGCGCTGTAACAGACCTGCAAAGGAAATCAACAGAAACTCGGAGAAAAATGGAAGAGGTGAAAGCGGAAAATGAGTCAATGATTTACGATTGTGATAGGTACAAGGAAAATTTGGCGGACCTTGAAACCGAAAACGAAAATCTCGTAAAACGTGTGGCCGCTGAAAAGCAAAGAGTTGATGATTTCAGACACGATGCTAGAGAGGTTCAAAAAGAAAACAAAAAGGTCCAAGAGGCTTTGGTGAAAAAAGAACAGGAAACTCAGGAGCTTCTTGAAAAGATGGAAAAGGCGAACAAATATCTTGTGGCCAAAGGAGGAGTTGGAGTGTCACCAGAAGTGCAAAAGCTGATGAGAGACTATATCGAGATGTGCCGCAGTATCATAAAACAGATTATAGACACTCGAATGGCCCAAAACAGGTTTCAACCAGCCCCAGGAACTTATCAACCCACGGACGGTGATAGTAGGAGAGGTTCAGCGGCAGGAAGCAAAGACTCTAGCGAGAGTAGCAGCAGCAGCAGCTCTTCTGAAGCCGAAGACGAGGAGGAAGAGGAGGAAGTGGTAGAGGGAGAAGGAGAAGGTATTCCCGATCTCCAAGTCATCAACAAAAAAACCAGACGTCGCGGACATGGCCTTGCTGCTGGTCCTGAGATCCAAATCCAGATTAAAGAAGTAGAAGTGATTCGAGAAGTTCAAATTCCCGGCCCTGAAAGGCTCGTTCCTGGTCCTATTCAATACGTTGATCGCGAGGTACCTGTGCCAGGACCTACCGTATTCGTCGATGTACCAGGTGCAGATATCCCGGGACCCAATTTCGTTATAACGCCATTCCGAGTGTTCGCTCACAATCCCGTCATTTGCTGGCTCTTGGTCGAATTCAATTTCCTCATTCTTTTCTTCCATTGGTGTAAGCGGTCGTTGAGTGTTCTTAGTCGGCTCCCTGCAATGACTATTGGACTGGGCCCCTGGAATCCACCACCTCCTGATGATGATGACAATTCCGATTCCGACGACGATGATGCAGCTGGAGAACCTCCGGATGGTAAAAGACCACCCAAAACTGGACCTAAACTTCTCTCTGTATTATTCAATCCAAAGCGTGGAAGATTACCAAATGCCTGGGATACCTTTTGGGGTTTGGTATTTCATATGTTCGTCTATAGTGTACTTTGGTTGTTTCTCTCGGTTGCTTACGAACGCAAACTTTGGCTTGCAGAAAACGATTCTACTCGTAGGTGGCTTTACCAAATAATTGCGCAGCACGGCGGTAATGGTTTCCTTGGTATGAATCAAATCTTACCTCAACGTGTCATTCGTCTATTAGAGATATGGAGGTTTGATCTTCTGGAGCGTATGGGCTATCCTCTTGCATATCAGTTCCCTGGTTGATATGTACGCATGTGGGTTCATATTACCTGGAGAATGTTTATTGAGGAATTGGGGCATGGTTATCATGCATAACTTCTATGTTTGATGAGCAGGTCTCTTCTTTTCAATGCGCCTCTTGCCTCGCTTCCCTCGACATACTTCTCCTCGCCGAGTTCCTTCCATGGCACACGCGATGCACAGTCAGTTCTGTGGAACTGGTGCGATTCCTCCTTCATGGTGTTTTGGATGGAATATCCTCAACTTACTGCTTTACGAAAAGAACAACATGTTCGTAATTTCTCCTTATAGTTCTGGCTCTACACACTAATGTATTTTTCTACTTTGTTTTGTTTGGACACACACCTACTCGGATGACATGAGTAGAGTAAATTGGGGGATTAAACATGCAGCCCCGAAATAGTACAAAAGGCCGCTGTCCTTCTCGATAGCATATGGCTTTATGTCTGTTCGCTGGCTTCTAAGGTGACTCAAAATTAGCATTGGATTGGCACATATGTATTGAATAAGACAAACTTTCATTTTGGACACTGTTCATATGTGTTAGAGCTTGTGAGGTGGTGATTGAAAATGCATTTTTCGGGATATCCGGATGTGAGGTAGAGATGAATATCGATACTCTGTATACTTTTCGTATTGATCGTTGATAGCACAAAAGATGATGATTGTGAGAACCAGGAAGTATTTGATATTTCTGAACAGAAGGACGTATCTGGAACTACCTATCTACTGCTTGATTGCCTTTCCTGTTTCTCATCATGCCATCATGCCGTCATGCTGTACGTACATATGTCATCCCCAAGCTATCTCGGCAAGCAAGAGAATGATGAGCTCCAAAATGGTCACACTTTAAAAAACCATTATCAAATCAACCACTTATGATTATATTTGCGATCTTGTTGAAGAAACTCATTGGCTTCTACTATTTACGTATATAGGATGTCCAGATCTTCAAATTATTCGAATGGATTACAATTTCATTTCCAAATCCTCATGTCCAGACCCATTTCATCGTCTTTCTCCATCTTTCCCAATTCTAGGCTTTCACCCCCCTGTAGACCAAACTGCCTCGGCATGCTGTATGCTTATTAAACATCCAATGCTTTCTTCAGTCCAGACTTCAAAATCGAACTCCAAATTATCCATTTGCTGACAGAGAATCCAAGATTGAAATGATTGAAATGATTGCAATTGATAGTTTATAAAGGTTCAAGTATCTGTTTCTCTTTATTTTCTCCCTCACATCTATTTTCCACATCAAATCCGTTGTCAGTAAGGTTACCTACCTACATCGTACATCTCCTTCGTTTTCGTCTTCATTACATTGCAAACAGCCAAATAAACATCTAGAACGATTAGAACGATTAGGCGTTGATCACGGGATATTCTCCGCATGCGATAATGTCATAGGATTTTGAAAGTCACTCCACCACCCGATTAATCAACCGATATCGAAGAGTACAACATCATTTCGTACAACCCATTTTCGAGTATCACAATATCCACAAATACGTACAAACATACTTTCATCATGTCCGACAAACTTGTTCCTTCAGATCCTGAGAAAGTCATGGTTATCCGTGATGTGACGCCGAATGTTACAACACTCTCGGTGCCTTTCTTACGATTTGGCATGATCAAATTCGGCGGCAGAGCTACTATTGGTATCTCTCTCTTCTTGGTGCGCTCATCCCATACAAATGCTAATAGATTATCCCAACAGTCCGTCTCACATCTGGTCAACTCGCCGTCTTCTCTCCCGTTGCCCTCACCCCTTCGGTAACAACCAAACTCCAATCCCTCGGAAACCGCGTCGCTTACGTCGCAGCCCCCGATCTCGAGCACCACATCTTTCTTTCCGACTGGCACAAAGCCTATCCAAACGCCCACTTCATTGCTCCTGAAGGTCTTGCGGAGAAACGTGCCGAACAAGCCAAGTCGGATAAAAAGGTTACCAATGTCCATTTCCAAACGATCTTTACCAAGAAAAACAAGGCTGAGATTCGGATCTCGCCGGAATTCGATACAGACTTTGAATATGAATTTGTCGATTCGCATCCAAATAAGGAATTGGTGTTCTATTATAAACCGGATAGGACGTTGATTGAAGCAGACATGATGTTTAACATGCCGGCTACGGAACAGTATTCCAAGACGGGAGAGAATGCTAGTTCGGGATTTGCGACAAAATTATTTAATCATCTTCAGACGACCAATGGATCGGCGATATGGCAAAAGAGAATGTTGTGGTATTTGTTCAGTAAGAGTGATAGAGAGGGTTTCAATCAGAGCGTGAAGAGAATTAATACGTGGGGATTTGAGAACATCATACCTTGTCATGGAGATACGATTGTTGGGAATGGTAAAGGGATCTTTGAGAAGGTTTTCGCGTGGCATTTGCAGGGAAAGAACTCCAAGTAAGAGTACCTGGCTACAGGGTTGAAAGCGAGGAGTTGGAGAAAGGCGTCTTGTGGAGGGGATGGGTGGGATGTGAAAGCTAATAGTAATTCCTTTCGAATATGTTTTCGAATATGGAGTGGATGTTTTTCATTATTTAGGATTACAGGATATTGAATCATCGTTTCCTTGCGAGTTTGGGGAGGGTTCTCAAATTCGAGCATTAGCGCTTGTGAAAAGGGAAGAACAGAACTAGAGTTAATACTTAGCTATCAGATTGTTTTCACTCGGGTTTTCTCTCTTTGAACGCATCTGACTTTTGCTTGTCACATTTTCTTCTTCTTATTGGGGAGGTCGAATTCACCTTGCCTTTATTTAGTGATCATTACCAGAGGAATAAGTATTCGCCATACCTTGAACTTGAGAATCGAAGGCTCTATCAAATCCACCACGCATCATCCTTCATTGTGCTGAGCCCGAAACACCCGGTAACATTTCTCATCCGTTCCATCAAATTTATTCCTTCTAATTATCATCCTGTGCAAGACTGCAAGTGCACGTACAAAAATACTCTAGCTAGTTTTGAGATTGAGATGTATATGAATTTATGAGTACCTAGTAAAAGGTAAACAATCTTGTGAGGATTAGACAAGCAAGTAGTAGCCACCCACCTAAATATTTTCAAAAAGTTTTTGTACATCCCCTAAACGTGACATGTGTGTTTGAAGCGGCAAGAATGGAATGAAACGGAATGGATTGGAATGGATTGGATTGGAAGAGCCTACATGCATGCAACTGCAGGGGGGAAGAGAAACAAGAAGTGCAAATTGGCGGAATATGCTCGTTGAATCTTGGCTTGGGGAGTTGAGGCTTTTTTTTTTGAAAATCCACGATGACTCGTAACTGCACAAGTGATAACCTGCGATTGGAACTTGAGTGGATTGTGTTGATGATGTGCTGTACCTAACACCTGTTCTGTCGCTTAGGATAGGGGTCGAAAATTGAAATTATTTTTCGAGCCGAGTATATGATGTATCTGCATTGTGTGGAAAGTTTAGTGTTTGGTTGGATATTTCTGGGATGAGTTGTTCGCGTGTTCTGGCTTCTGGAGAGTTTGTCGTGTCGTGTCTTTGTGGGTGCTTGGGTTAGTGAGGAATGTAGAATGTAGATGTGATTTCGGGTAATCATTTTCCAGTCATCATATCTACACAGAGAAAGCAATTATTGTATTACTCTATTCCTGCGCTACGGCAGGGAGTTATAGAATCTATGATTCTCTTCACGATTCCTCATTCAAGCCACGGAGTTCATATTCCGAAAACTCCTCATCTCGATTCTTACTATGACTGCTTTTTTCTCGTCTGCGAATCAATACCAAACCCACTATCCTCTTCATCTATGCCAGCTGGCACACTCCCAGTCACTTCACCCCTGGACGGAACATATGCGAGACTTTAGGTTTTGCAACCGAATGTTTACTCCAGCGGACTTTTAATCTCAAGCCTACACTGCACCTCTTTCTTGCAATGATCGATGATTTGAGACTGATTTGAGATTCATCAACGATTGGTTGAAGATGAGAGAAAAATGTAAAAGTAATCATATACTCTTATGAGTATGTCGTGAGTTTAGAAGTAGTACTTGAATCCTACCGAGAGAATACCCGCGCAGAGATATGGCTTATGGTGGTGTGCTTCATCTCTTGCAGATGAGCATCTTGATTGGAGTCACGCTTGCTGCTGCTCTCGGTGGTGCTAATATTTCCTTGATCAAAGGGGATGCAATTTATGTAAATGCCAAGTAGGTTGCGCGAAAGTTACCTGTACCCGTGGATAATTCACAGACAATCGGCAGATAATTTGCAGATAATTTGCATCTAGTTTCTTGTCACGTGTTGAACTTGGTCTAAAGAATCCTCGGTGAGAATCTAAATGAACCCCGTAGAGAAACAACATATTCTTCACTATTCTATAACAGCGACTACACATTTTTTTTTCGTTTGGAGTTTAAATGACATAATGTTGACAGTCGTTACCCGAACCGGGCTAAGCTACACCATACACATGCATGGAAGTTTCTCAACACCTCGTTTGAGTACCTAGGAGAAATCACATTTCTCACGGGTTAAAAATAAACCAATTAGCAAAATCTGTCCGCAGAAATACTGGCGAGTCATTGAAAACACAATTTCCGGGAGTGCTACCACCCATACCCATACACGCGAGTCTTTCGGCTTCTCATTCTATTTCGAGCCGGACACTATTCCACAAACTCTCAACAACATAATCAATTTCCTATTCCTGAAGTCTTGTAATCACATCTTCCTATTCTTTAAAGATACCTATCTAACCATGTCCAAAAAAAGAACTTGCGCTCACCTTCTTCCAAGTTCCAACCCCCTTCCACCAAACCCTCGAACTCCTCCCCAACTCCACATCCCTCCACACGCATCTTGCACATCCAAACCAGCCCTTCCCTTCCCTCCCACAATCTTCTTCTTTCCATCATTCCCATCCTCTCAATCCTCCACGCACCACTCACCACACCAACAAACCCAATAAACCAGAAACCCCACCACACACATTCCACATCCGCACTCCATCGGA